CTTCCCCTTTGACAAACACCTTGAGTAAAATTTTTGTCAAGTTTTCTTGTTTAACTATCATCAGGAGGTAAAATTAGTTTGTAACAACTAGTATATATCAAAATATATTAATTGACATCCCCTGTTTTATTACTCTAGATTGTGTATTATTTTAATAACTTGTATTTGAAGTAATAAATAAGGAGAAAAAAGGTTTCAAATGTAGAAAAAAAATTTCGGGCTTTCCTTTTGCTATACACCCTGCTTAATTTGTGTTTTATTAAATTAATTAATTTTATTAAACTTATAACATGGCCGATGATTACTTCAAAATGTCGCTTAATTCGCAAGCTAAAAAGCATCATTTCCTATAAAGTTAGGCGAACAAATATTATATTAATTGTGTAGAAATTTTGATATCACGATATCCTTTTGATACAAGAAAGGAAGACAGAGAGTTGTTACAAGTAGATGCTGTTTATTGTTGCATCGATAAAAACTAGTATTTGGTTTTCTTTAATAATCATGAAGAAGATTTTAGACTTATTAAGTATAAATTTTAATTAGCCATATTGTTTATCCTTTATGAGAATCATGATAATCGTAATAGGAACTATGATGAACCGCATAAAATAAAAACTCGTTTACTTAATATTTTAATAAAAGCTATTACTGATTTTTCTTTGGGTGTTATGAAATGTGAAATTGTGGCATGGATACTTTACGAAAGTTTTTTATACCTGTGGTTTTTTGTCTCAAAGAATGTCAATAATGGTGCAGCCCCTGCTACAGCTTCTTCCACTAAAATTAATAACAAATTTTGATTTTATTAATGCACTGTGTATGACAAGACATGTTTTTAAAATAACTTTTATAATTACACAATTTTGCAAGCAAGTAATGATGATAATTTTTATAGTTTAAATCTTATTGAAGCATTAAAAGTTTTTGTCTCTATAGTTAGAAATACTATTAATCAACACCTTCAAATATGCTTTAAACAAGCCTAAAAATTGCATTTCAAATTATTTTAACTTGGTTATCGCTGTTTCTTGCTAGACTATCTAGGTTTTATCTAGATTACTCAGTTTAACACAATGTTTGATTGATACAATTTTGAAGTGTTATAAGTACCTGTGTTTTAATTTCTTCTTTCTAATATTCAGTTTCTTCTAAAAACAATTGCAGAAATTCAATGTTTTGTTATACTAGTTAGGAAGACCAAATCATGTTTTACTGTCTTTTGTTTAACCAAAGACTTTATTAGGTTTATTTATTATTTCCAAACCAAAGGCTTTATACTTAAATTTGATCTGTGGGAAGTTTAGATGAATTTCACTTAATTGCCTGAATTTCAAAAATGAACTTTAATCTAATAATACTAAAACATTACAAGCAACAAACCTTTTTAAGTTTGTTATAAATACTTATGAGTTGTGTTTTAAATAAAATTCAAATACGATAAAAGTATAACTTCAAATGTTTGAGCTGCTTTTTGGTAAACAGCTATTTTCATAGCTGACATCTTTGTAAAAACATTTAGCATTGTACAGTTATTGCAATAAGTTTTTTGACTTTAAGTATTTATAAAGTTTATTTATAATTAAATATTATCAAATTTAATTAAATCGGTCAAAATCCGGACCCCCTCCCCCTCTCTAAAAAAAATAGGGAGGCAGAGGGGGACATAGTTTTTTTTTTTTGGACTTACTCAAAAAATTTCCTGTACACGCCCCTGCATACATATATATATATATATATATATATATATATATATATATATATATATATATATATATATATATATATATATATATATATATATATACATATTTATATATATATATATACATACATATATATATATATAAAAATCATACGCATCTAGAAGCTTCCAGAAGCATCGAAAAGAAGTATCTAGAATCTTCCAGAACAGGTTCACACAAGTTCATTTTACTATATAAGAGACATGTAATTCAGTCAGTATATGGAATTCAATCAGTCAGTATTATCGAGACAGTTTATCGAAGTTAGTTTTATCTAAGTGTTTTATCGAAGAACATCAATACAAGAAGTGAAATACAACAAATGTTTCATTACATCAATACAGTCCACATCCAACCAAGACGTTGTGTTCCAAAGAGCATTATTGTATCATCTAAATGTAAATGTATTACGGTAAGCCTTAAGAAGCGTGATTATTTATTTTTATTATTTTAATGACTTCAAGTGCAAAAATGGCTCCCGACAGTCTTGAATTAGAACTAAGAAAGAAAATTATTGGCGATTGCGTATATGGAATGTCGCAAAAAAGTATTTGTGATAAATATCGCGTGAAAAAATGGACCGTATCAAGACTATGTTCCAAATATCGTTCTACGGGAAAGTTGGCAGCAGATAACAAAGGTGGAAGACCGCGTTCCGTCAACAAGGATCCCTGGATATCATCAGTCGAGATACAAAAGCAATTAGAGCTGCTTGTATTGGACCGAACAATCAGACGGCGTGCTGTTAAAGCCGGATTATTTTCTCGACGCCCTGCAAAGAAACCGCTGATTTCACTGCTTCATCTCATATTGATTTGGATAAGCAGAAATGGCAAACTGTCCTGTTCAGTGATAAATCGAAGTTCAACATCATTTTTGAAGTTCGAAGTTCAACATCATTGAGAAACAATCCTAGGAGCGATGGCATTTGCCGTGTGCTTCGACTGGCCGGAAAACGCCTCGATTTACGTTACTGCCCTAAGACCGTGAAGCATGGTGGAGGCAATGTAATGGTCTGGGGGTGTTTTTCTGCTAATGGTCTAGGTCCAATACATCGAAACGATGGAATAATGGGCCGTTTCATGTAAAAAATATCTGAAAGATGTTATGTTACCTCATGCTGAATGGAATATGCCAATAAAATGGATTTTTCAGCAAGACAGCGATCCGAAACACACTGCAAAAGTAGTCAAGCAGTGGTTTCAAGACAACCACCTATCGTAGATGGATTGGCCGCCTAAAAATTGTATCTTAAACACCATGGTACAGGACCAACAACATCGATTTGGTGTTGTTATACTATTTTTATAAAAAATGCTCTGTTGTAATTGTTATATTGGCAAATGCTTTTGTTTTTTGAATTGATTTTTCTCAGATTTTATTTTCAGTATTTATCAGCAAGATTTAATAAAATGAAGATTTTAAAATTTACTTTTTTTTAACAAAATTTAGAATGCGTCTCTAAATACCTCTTTATAAAACTTAAAATTGCATATTATAATATAAAAATATTTTATTATAATTTGAGTTATTTTATAATATATTTGTTATAATATAGATATAAAATTTTGCAATACGTAATTTATTTTAATAACCCCTGGTGACAAAAATTTGGCACAATCTTTGAAAAGCTAAAACTTATTGAATTTTTAGGTATCCAGTCTTACTTTTTTAGTAGTTTTATTTACAAAGTGTTAGTTATCTTTTACTAAAAGCTTTGTTTAAATTATTTAATATAAAGTTATCAAAAAATGAAGCCAAATACATTAATTGAACAAGTGTACAACTATTGTAATTTGCATTTCAACGCTAAAACAAAGAGCATTGTAGAGTATTTTGTTGCCTCTAATCACCCCAAAAGAACCATCAAACGTTATATAGCAAAGTGGGAAACAATGGGTGAAAGTCTCATAAGCCGGGATCAGACAGGAAATTGAAAATTATGACTGCTAGGAAAATCAATCGCCTGAAAGGTCTTCTGAACAACCGGTTTGGAACTTCAACCAGAAAAATTACTATTATATTCAAGTGTGATCATTCCTACATTGTAAAAACATTAAAAAACAAAACAAACATTTCTTTTTTTAAGAAAAAAAAAATCCCTAATTGCATTGATAAACAGTTAAAGCAGATGCAACTGAAATGTGAAAGTGTAAAGTGTCACGGTTTCTGAATTTGTCGCAAATTCAGAAACCATGACTTTGTCATTGAGGATGAGTCTTATTTTACATTTAAACATACAATTAAAAATTCTAATGCTGGATTTTACTCAGATGAAGCAAAAAAAGCACCAAAAAATGTAAAATATAAACGCAAAAGTATATTTGAAAAAAAATATTCTTGTGTGGATTACCATTTCCCCTCGTGGAATCTCAAAACCATTTATTGTTGCTGCGAGACTGGCAATAACCAAACAGTATACAAAATTGATTGCAACATCACAAACATCACAGTGATGGTAATTATATATTATGGCCTGACTTGGCGTCTTCAAATTTTGCTAAAAGTGTGACCAATTACCTCGATTAGAAAAATATCCGTTATGTAACAAAAGTTGATAATCCGGCATGTGTCCCAGAATTACGACCAATATAAGATTTTTGGTCGATCCATAAATGCTACGCGTATGAAAACTACGTGTATGAATTGGGAAGCTCGAAATGAAGATCAGCTACAAAAAAGAATCCATTCTTGTTAAAGAAAAGTTGATAGAAATCTTGTACAAGGCATGTGCGAACATGTATACAAAAAATTTGATGAAGTACGTCATAATGGCGAGAAAGCATTATTTCAGTCCCGAAAGTTAAAAACTTTTATATTGCCTTATATTTTGTACTAATTTTTTGTTCATTAAACCTTTTGTTGCCCTATTACTGCTTGTGTTTATTTTGTGCCAAATTTTTGTTACCAGTTGTTTGTTATATAAATATATATATATATATATATATATATATATATATATATATATATATATATATATATATATATATACATATATATATATATATATATATATATATATATATATATATATATATATATATATATATATATATATATACATATATATATATATATATATATATATATATATATATATATATACATATATATATATATATATATATATATATATATATATATATATATATATATATATATATATATATATATATATATATATATATATATATACACATATATATATGTGTGTGTGTGTGTGTGAAAGAAAAAAAAAAGTAAGAGGAAACTTACTTTTTGAAAGAAGATAACAGTAACCAAAGCGAATAAAATAACTAAAGCAACAACCAATACAATAATCCAGGATGCAAGACTAGGTGATACATTCTCAAGATCAACTTTAATTTTGTTAATGTCAACATTGTAACCATTAATAGAATCGTTTGACTGGCGCATAGATTTCATAAACCTATTCATAATTTCCCCACTAACTTCAGCGTTACTTCTTTTCACCTCATTTTTGTCAAAAACAATTAAAGAGTTTACAACAATACTTCCTTTCTCAAAGCCAGTTATAATTACTTTGACGAAACCAGGTATTAAATGAAAAATAGAGAAACAATGGTCTAGAAATACTTTATACAAATTTTTATATTCTTCAGACGATGGGTTTTTTAAATTATCATTAAACTTATTAGTAAAAACTATTTTAAAAATGAACTTTATTTCTCTTGAAGGAGGAATTGTCTTTGATAATACGGAGCTTAAAGAAATTGAACTTTTTAAACTAAGTAAAAATGTGCTAGAGGATTCTTCACAAAAAACGAACGATGGTGAACTATATACTTGGGTTGCTAATTTACTTGACAATGTTGAACTCACTTTACTGAGATTTGAAACTTGTAAAGTAGAACTAGCTTCATTTGATGAAAAATAACCTGTAGATATAGTAAAAGAATGAATAGAAAACGCTGGCGTAAAACTAACTTCAATAATTGTAATTTTTTTAACTGTTTCACTTGTTGATGGTGTAAATATACCAGTGTGAGATGTGCCTGAAGTTTGTTCACTTAATGTGCTGAACGATGGTAAACTATATACTTGGGTTGTTGATTCACTAGTCAATGTTGACCACTCTTCATTGATACTTGAAGTTTGTAAAGTAGAACTAGTTTCATTTGATAAAAAAGAACCTGTAGATATAGTATCAGATGGAACAGAAAAGGTTGGTGCAAAACTAATTTCACTAATTGTAATTTTTTGAACTGTTTCACTTGTTAGTGGTGTAAATACACCAGTGTGAGATGTGCCTGACGTTTGTTCATTTAATGTGCTAAATGATGGTAAACTATATACTTGGGTTGTTGATTCACTAGTCAATGTTGACCACTTTTCTTTGATACTCAAAGTTTGTAAAGTAGAACTAGCTTCTTTTGATGAAAAAGAATTTGTAGATATAACATCAGATGGAATAGAAAAGGCTGACGTAAAATTAATTTCACTACTTGTAATTTTTTCAACTGTTTGGCTTGTTGATGATGTAAATACACCAGTTTGAGATCTTTCTGACGTTTGTACACTTAATGTGCTGAATGATGGTAAACTATATACTTTTGCTGTTGATTCACTAGTCAATGTTGACCTTTCTACATTGATACTCGAAGTTTGTAAAAGAGAACTAGTTTCATTTGATGAAAAAGAACCTGTAGATATAGTATCAGATGGAACAGAAAAGGTTGGTGCAAAACTAATTTCACTAATTGTAATTTTTTCAACTGCTTGGCTTGTTGATGGTGAAAGTACACCAGTTTGAGATGTTTCTGACGTTTGTACACTTAATGTGCTGAACGATGGTAAACTATATACTTGGGTTGTTGATTCACTAGTCAATGTTGACCTCTCTTCATTGATACTCGAAGTTTGTAAAGTAGAACTAGCTTTGTTTGATGAAAAAGAACCCGTAGATATAGTATCAGATGGAATAGAAAAAGTTGGCGTAAAATTAATTTCACTAATTGTAATTTTTTCAACTGTTTCACTTGTTGATGGTGTAAATATACCAGTGTGAGATGTGCCTGAAGTTTGTTCAATTAATGTGCTGAACGATGGTAAACTATATACTTGGGTTGTTGATTCACTAGTCAATGTTGACCACTTTTCTTTGATACTCAAAGTTTGTAAAGTAGAACTAGCTTCTTTTGATAAAAAAGAATCTGTAGATATAACATCAGATGGAATTGACGTAAACATAATTTCACTACTTGTAATTTTTTCAACTGTTTGGCTTGTTGATAATGTAAATACACCATTTTGAGATGTTTCTGAGGTTCGTTCACTTATTGTGCTGAATGATGGTAAAATATATATATGGGTTGTTGATTCACTAGTCAATGTTGACCTTTCTACATTGATACTCGAAGTTTGTAAAGTAGAACTAGGTTCATTTGATGAAAAAGAACCTGTAGATATAGTATCAGATGGAACAGAAAAGGTTGGTGCAAAACTAATTTCACTAATTGTAGTTTTTTGCACTGTTTCACTTGTTAGTGGTGTAAATACACCAGTGTGAGATGTGCCTAACGTTTGTTCATTTAATGTGCTGAATGATGGTAAACTATATACTTGGGTTGTTGATTCACTAGTCAATGTTGACCACTTTTCTTTGATACTAAAAGTTTGTAAAGTAGAACTAGCTTCTTTTGATGAAAAAGAATCTGTAGATATAACATCAGATGGAATTGACGTAAAATTAATTTCACTACTTGTAATTTTTTCAACTGTTTGGCTTGTTGATGATGTAAATACATCTGTTTGAGATGTTTCTGAGGTTCGTTCACTTATTGTGCTGAATGATGGTAAACTATATACTTTTGCTGTTGATTCACTAGTCAATGTTGACCTTTCTACATTGATACTCGAAGTTTGTAAAGTAGAACTAGTTTCATTTGATGAAAAGGAATCTGTAGATATAACATCAGATTGAATAGAAAAGGCTGACTTAAAATTAATTTCACTACTTGTAATTTTTTCAACTGTTTGGCTTGTAGATGATGTAACTACACCGGTTAGAGATGTTTCTGAGGTTCGTTCACTTATTGTGCTGAATGATGGTAAACTATATACTTGGGTTGTTGATTTACTAGTCAATGTTGACCACTCTTCTTTGATATTCAAAGTTTGTAAAGTAGAACTATCTTTTTTTGATGAAAAAGAACCTGTAGATATAGTATCAGATGGAACAGAAAAGGTTGGTGCAAAACTAATTTCACTAATTGTAATTTTTTCAACTGCTTGGCTTGTTGATGGTGAAAATATACCAGTTTGAGATGTTTCTGACGTTTGTACACTTAATGTGCTGAACGATGGTAAACTATATACTTGGGTTGTTGATTCACTAGTCAATGTTGACCTTTCTACATTGATTTTCGAAGTTAGTAAATTAGAACTAGCTTCATTAGATGAAAAAGAACCTGTAGATATAGTTTCAGATGGAATAGAAAAGATTGGCGTAAAATTAATATCACTAATTGTAATTTTTTCAACTGTTTTACTTGTTAGTGGTGTAAATACACCAGTGTGAGATGTGACTGACGTTTGTTCATTTAATGTGCTGAATGATGGTAAACTATATACTTGAGTTGTTGATTCACTAGTCAATCTTGACCACTCTACATTGATACTCGAAGTTTGTAAAGTAGAACTAGCATTGTTTGATGAAAAAGAACCTGTAAATATAGTATCAGATGGAACTGAAAAGGCTGACGTAAAATTAATTTCGCTAATTGTAATTTTTTCAACTGTTTGGCTTGTTGTTTGTGTAAATATATCAGATGTGCCTGAAGTTTGTTCACTTAATGTGCTGAATGATGGTAAACTATATACTTGGGTTGTTGATTCACTAGCCAATGTTGACCTTTCTACATTGATTTTCGTAGTTAGTAAAGTAGAACTAGCTTCATTTGATGAAAAAGAATCTGTAGATATAACATCAGATGGAATAGAAAAGGCTGACGTAAAATTAATTTCACTAATTGTAATTTTTTCAACTGTTTGGCTTGTTGATGATGTAAATACACCAGTTTGAGATCTTTCTGAGGTTCGTTCATTTAATGTGCTGAATGATGGTAAACTATATACTTGGGTTGTTGATTCACTAGTCAATGTTGAAAACTCTTCTTTGATACTCAAAGTTTGTAAAGTAGAACTAGCTTCTTTTGATGAAAAAGAACCTGTAGATATTGTATCAGATGGAACAGAAAAGGCTGACGTAAAATTAATTTCACTAATTGTAATTTTTTCAACTGTTTGGCTTGTTGTTTGTGTAAATATATCAGTGTGAGATGTGCCTGAAGTTTGTTCACTTAATGTGCTGAATGATGGTAAACTATATACTTGGGTTGTTGATTCACTAGTTAATGTTGGTGATGTAAATGCACCTGTGTGAGATGTGCTAGAGACTAATTTATTTTTGTCCTCTGCCATTGTTAATGTCATGCAAACTAAAAGTTTTTTGAAATGTTAGATTTCTATAACATTGATAGTATATTGAATAACTTACACTAACATCATTTTCGTCGAATAATTAGTTAGAATTATCAAAATAAAGTAACTGTTAAATAAAGTGTTTATGTAAAAATATTCTCAATAGTTTTTTAATTTAATATAAAAAGTTAGTAACAAGAATATTATAAAATGTTTTTTATTGTGCTGACTTAAAACGGAAGCTATTAAAAAGTATTGAAAAAAGAAAAGTTCTTTAATATTTTTTTATTGATACATAACAATGAATAATAAACATAATACATATTTATATTTATTACACATATAAATATGTATTTTTTGATAAATTTTGTGCGGCTTTGGCGCAGTGGTTAGAGCGCTTGTTTTATTAGCAGGAGATCCAGGTTCGAAACGAGCTCTGGACATATTTCGCGTCACGGTAAGGAAGGAGGCGTGAACTTCCTGTCAGGTGGAAAAAGTACTTCTAGCTACCTCTTGAAAATGTGTTTATTTGCAAAACCCCAATGCAATACTGTAAGACCTTATAAACCTAGAAAAAATTATTTTTAATTAATTATGTATAATAAGCTTAATTTGTGTTGATAAAGAATATCTTATATTGATGTATTATATTTCTTGAGCTTCAAAGATATTTTAACCTAAAAAGTGTTTTTTCTAACCGTATTTTTTATAAATGTTCCAAGGTTTTTTTTTCAGGCAAACTGTTCAAAATCTTATAGTTTATTGATTTAAAAAACATTCATTTAGTTTTCTTATACACCCAGGTAGCAAACAATATTGGCGCGATATTGGGTTAGCCGACGTTGATATGACGCGATATTATCTTAGCCAACGTTGGCCAAGATTTGCGATATTGCTATATTACGCTAATATTGCTATACCAATATTGGCAAACAAGATTGCGCCAATATTGGCATATCAATATTACATCATTATTGTTTTATTAATATTGGAATGGCAATATTGGCACAATAATTATATGCTAATAAGTAATGCCAAATTATTTTTGCGTGTTTAGTTTCAAATTACACATTTGATATAGCTAATAATTTAAACAGCTATATTTCACTCAAATACTGTTCATTATCTAATATGGTTTCATGTCTAGTATGGTTATTAATGGTTCATGGTCGTTGTCTAGTATGGTTTTAACTTATACATTTTTTGACAGTTATGAAACTGCTTTAGAACGGATAGAGACGTTAGAGTATAGATTAAGCGTGGAAACAGCTGTTAGTAGTGAAGAAGAAGAATTATCTATGCCTCCAGCTTAAAAGGTTGCTGGTTGCAATAAAAATGACACTAACAAGACTGTCTATAAGTTAAGTGTTTTCCTCTACAGTTGGCAATTGGAGCTTTGGTTGACCATCCCCTTCAATTAAATTTATTTGCCGGTTAATGGGGAAAAAAGATCTTCCGGACCTGGAAGAAAAATTATGAAACAAAGACACCTTATGAATCGATAGTATGTATCAGTGAATTGGTATTAACTAATAGTTTTTGGAAACAGTTCCATTTACTATTAAAATTTCTATTCTTTAAAATATATGATACATTCTTATGATGCATACAAACAAATAATACAATATGATTAATTATAATTATGTGGTACATAAAAATGTTTTATACAAATGTCTATTAAATTTTGCAATTTTATAGTGATTTTTATCTTTTTTGCCCAGTTAGCACATTTCGTCTTGTAGTCATAGCAATGACTACTAATCTCAGACATCTATGACATCTTTAGGGTGTATTCATCATTGCTTTTTGCTGTGGTGAAGACAACCTATATGGGAGAATTTTATACTAATGTGTAATTGTGGTCACGGGTAGGAGATGCTCACAAACCTGTATAAAATTCTGGATGGGATTTTTCCTAGTTTTATCACTCAATAAAATTTTTATGATAAAAATCAGTCTTGATCTGCAAAACATTTTTTTATTTTAGATTAACTTTCTTGCATCGGCTGGAGGAGATGATTACAAACAACTTACAGCTAATGGCCAAAGAAGTATGTTTGTCATATTCAATGTATGAAAACGTCCTGCCAGATCGTTATAGGTAAAGCACAATATTTAAATTCTAAATCCCATTTCCTTTTAATAAACAATTATTTTAGAAAATGCTAATTGTTTTACAATATTCATACGTGAAAAATTATATATTTAAAAATTATATTGTGATGATAATAAAAGAACATTTTGTAGAGTTGTGTTTAGTTGCTGGTCAATTTTTTATTTATTTATCATTGTATTCGTTCAATTTGAAATCGCTACAGACAAAAGTATTAAAGAAAAATTGGCAGTTTTCTGGCGATGGCCAATGATAGAGATGACAGAAGAAAAAATAAAACCATAACTGAGCAACAACCAATATTGAGCAATAAAATAAGTATCGGCAAAATAATGAAAGTCAATGTCCACATCTAATAGTGAGAGTATAATGCATTAGTCTATAAATATATATATATATATATATATATATATATATATATATATATATATATATATATATATATATATATATATATATATATATATATATATATATATATATATATATATATATATATATATATATATATATATATATTGTGCCTGTATTTAAATACCTTTAATTTTATTTTGTTAAATGTTGGTTTTGGAGCACACTAATACTTTTTTCTTCATTTGTATCTGTTTCATATAACTTTAGATAAATTTAATGATTTTTATTTGTGAAGCGTTCTATGATCATTGTCATCTCCTAGACTATAACCTGTTTAACTCAAAAGAATAATGCAGCCTGGTAGTACAGTATCATTTAAACAAGAAAACTGTTATAAACATTAGCTATTAAAAATTTATATAAGTCAGTATTATTTTTTATTATTTTTTAATAATATAAATTTAACCAAAAATACTCAATATAGGCTTAATATAATTATATATATATACATTGGGATAATATTGTAAACTATATAACGCCAATATTGACTAGTATTATAACCGCATTACTGGCGCAATATTATTTACAATATTGGCGCAATATTTTAAGCATTATTACGCCAATATTGTAATGTGAACATTTTACCAATATTGGCCAATATTGATTTAACAACCAGAGTAGCAAACATTATTGGCGCGATATTGTTTAAATACTTTACATACTATAAACAATATTGCGCCAATATTGTTTGCTACTCGGGAATATTGACGCAGCAATATTGGCAAAATGTTCACATTGCATTATTGGCGCGATATAATCTACAATATTGCGCCAATATTGTAGACTATCACCCCAATATTGCGCCAATATCGTTTGCTACTTGGGCAGGTGCGGATAAAGGCTTTTTGGGGTCCTGGGTATTTTAAAGAAGAAGGCCTCTTACCATGTCATTAATGAAAAGTTTCATTGTCAGAGTTTGATTTGGAAAATTTTTTAAATTTGAATCGGGGCTCCCAAACCTCAGGAACCCAGGGGTTTCGACCCTTTTCCTAAACCTCCCACAATCCATCAATCGATTGTATAAAGTTTTTAATAGATTGTCAGCCTAACCGGCATAGGCACGTACAACGTTCAAAACGTTTAATGTACGTTTAGATTACGTCCTGAACGTCCAAGGACCTAATTGAAACCAATATGAATTTTTCAAACTTGTGTGTAACAATTACGTATAATAAATAACTAGATGTCTAACTCCGGGTTGCATATTTTGAAATTCTATAGAGGCCCCTCTCCACGTGACACCTACTCGCGCCTGCCTTAAACACGATGAAGTTAATGATGAGCATGATGAAGTTAATATAAAATCAAAAATAAAGAAAAACAAGAAACGTATACTGAAAACGTGTGTCTATCTCAATCTAAATCAAAAAAGTTAGCAAAAAAAAAAGACAATATGATAGTAGTGTGGAAAAACAAGAACTTAATCTTGACAGACAATCAGCTTAAATTTTATGGGAACGATAGTCTTCCAAATGAACTACTTGACATGAGTTCAACTCATTAATGTTTTTAACACTTTTTTCCAGATAACTTGCTGCAAATGATGAATCCAATTTATACTCAATACAGACTAGCATTAGTAAGCCGTTGAATTTAAATCTATAAGAACTGAGACAATATTATGTATGTCTCAGTTCTTATAAATTTTATATGTATTATTATTTACATGCCAGTATTACGAATAACTAATGTGCTACCATATTTTCTCCCAGAGTTTGAAATTAGCAGTGTTGTAAACCGTATCACAGTTAATAGATTTGAGAAAATTCGCCAGTTTATTCATTTCAATGATAACACTAAACATTTAACTTAAGAAAATCTTTCTCATGATAAAAATCTATTATATATAATTTTGTGTAGTCTAGACAACACAAAATATATATCATATATTGTTTTGTGTAGTCTAGACTACACAAAATTATGTACCATTATGCCAGCAAGCCAAAAGTTACAAATTTTACTTTGATGATTACTATACCTCTCCAGCTCTATTAGCTAATCCAGCTAAAATGGTGTATTAAGCTAAGGTATATTAAGCTTTTGCAATCAAGCACGAAGGCATAAAATTATCAAAGCTTTAAAGACAAAAATTAGAGACCAGAAAAAACATATTGAAATAATAGAGTGAGCGTATTCGTATTTTTAAGGCAACAAAAAAAGACATTAAAGATAAATGAAAAGCTATGGTAAAAATGCTAAGGTACATAAAGCTTATAAAATTCCATTGCTTATATAAAAAGTAGGGTAACATATTGGTGTCATTTTTACTGATAACTGTTTTCATTTATATTGGTTTTTTGTCAAAAACAATATAAATGAAAACCGTCGGTTTTCAAAAACAGTTACGGCGGTTTTTTTGTATAATGTCTTTTGAATGTTTATTTATTGTAGAAAGGTATAAAAACGACAAATTGTAAGTAATTAAATTTTTATTTTATTATTTAGATTGTATTTTGCTGGAAAGCTTAACATGTCTTTTCAATTTCAAAA